AACCCCCCCCAATAACAATAACACAGGAAAACAACAGTCGTTCACGAAAACTAACAAAGAGCCAAAAGCACCAAAAAACCAACAGGTTTTGATTAAAGCATAATGAGCGAGCTAGTAGCATTTCTGTTTTGCACGATGGCTACAAAACAGCACCGCATCTCCGAAAAACAAACACATAATTACATGTCAACAAATACATGTGCACGTATTATGTTTACTGATACTGATAAAAAGCAGACTTCATAGTTCAGGGCGTAGTATTGAGCTCTCCCGAGATTTGCTCTCATTCGATAATTAATTCTTCTGTTTATCATGCTCTAAACTATTCGCTTCTCATTCAGCATACAAATAAATTGAACTGTACACGTAGTCGATATCAGTGCATGCATAACCAGTTTAGTGAGCACACTGTTGACTTAGTTTTAGTAGGAGTTTCAGTTTTAGTACATGTAGGAATTTTACGGGAATTGAAGCACAAAAAAGCCACCAAAGTACCGAAGATTAGAGACGTTATTGAGATTAATATTCAAAGAAAAGGAGGCGAAATGAGGAGGACCATAGATGTTTGATAGAATAGATAGAGCAAACCACTCTGGGGCGCCCGCTAACCACCTACACCTTGCTGTCTCCTCTTCTCACAATTGCCATAATGTCATAATGTTCTTTGTCATAGCGCTAGACTGGTCGGGGTCATTACAAGCATAATAATGGATAATTTATTTTGTAGTCACCACTCCGCACCGAAAAAATCGTATCACAATTTTCTCTTACTCTTTTTCTGACACTTTCACATACCCATCTCTCACATCACCAGTGTCTTTGTTTGAGTCGCTCTTTCCTACAAATTGACGATGCTAATTTTGCTCATGGAGTAGCCGGGGATTTGTGTTTTGACGGAAAAAAGTGATATAAAAGAAATTATGTAAGATTCTAAAAATGATTTTGGGCAGAAAGGATTTATAGCCTACGTATTTGAGAATTAGCTTGGTTTCTGGTTTGTTATTCATTAATATCTTATTTTACAAACCCACCCATCCCTATCAACTAGCGCTTTTTTTTCTCATGAAAAAATGTTCTTTCATTCTTATTCTTTAAAAAATAGTCATCGGTATATTACTTGCCCAAAGTACTCCTTTTTTTATTTCACTGTCGGCATACTTTTAAAAAATCAGGTGGGCTTCCGATGCCACGCAGACATATACACACCATAACAAATGTAAATAGTGAATATATAGCCAATTTAACAGAAGCTATGATTCAAAGAGGAAACATGACTTTCAGTTCGACCCACAGAAATGTTACTTTTCCCTTTTTTCAAAGGGAGGTCCGGTAATCGACAAAGAAACATAATACATGTATAAGATGTATACAGGACAGAAATGTCTGTGGTCTCCCAAAATAGATATTTCTTGATCTGGTTATACATGCCGTCTCAACACGAGGGGAAAAATCCTTTGTTCATCGTAGTAGTCAGAGCTGCGCGTAACATGGTTCAACTTCTCGTTTGAAGATGATGTAAGTATTGGTGTATTAATCGGGATCTCCCCGAGCATGATACCTTTAGCCAGTACTGTGCGTCATTGACGGTGTTGAAATTTAGTTAAATAAATACATTAGTGTCTAGAAACTAGAAATAACTCAGTCCTTCTTAACTTTACTGGAAAGCCT